TGTTAATACTAGCCGGGCTCGAGTGCCACTCTTCGATGAATTCTCTCGCTTGCCTCGTGTTAGCCATGGCGATCACCTCGGTACCATCCCATTTAAATTTTTAAGCAGTATCAATATTCAGTCTGCCATTGCACAAAGACAAAGTCTTGCTAGTGAGCGGATCAGAGTCCGACAAATAAATGCGGGCATTGCAGTTCAGGCTGCTGTCTTGTCACACGAGAGAGAGAGAAATGTTACCTCAGGCGAAGTCAAGCATGCAGGTAGGCAGGAGGATGTGCAGAAAATGCTCGTCCTGGTAGATTTTACAATTTCATGCAGATAAAGAGGACACTACACAGAGCTACCGGATTGGCTGCTGTTAGAATAAACCTAATTACTGGCCTTTTTATCAGACTTACAGGAAATAAAAACAAGCACTTCCCCTAAATGAGCTTCTCTACAAGTAGAATCCGCAGATGCCTCAGGTACCCTGCATGAATGGAAACATCGCGGTGGCCATCAGACACAGCATCGCTTTTGATCGCACCAGAGACCGAAACGCGTCTAAAATACGGTTCCAGCTGGTTCCTTCTCGGTGAAAATTCAAATTGCAAATGGGCTACTGAACGTAAAGACCGTTTGAGTCATGAAGTAAGTTCTATAATGAACTGCTGTGTATTATTGGGAATCCTAAGTCAAGGGATCCTTGGTGCAGGAGGCTGACACGAGATAATGGCTACTTCACAACGCAAGCACATTTTTATATCACTTCTCAGGCTGCGCCTGGTGCTGTATAGACCACCTAGCTACTCTGGTGACGCCATCCAGTACTTAGGCTAGCTTAAATGCAAATGGCGTATTCGCTGTCGGTAGATGCCATCGCGTAAACTTAAAAGAAACCCAGCAAAAGTGTCTTTTAGAGCCGCCTTAGTATCTATTCCCCCGCCTAACTGTCTAATATAATTTGTGGTCAAGGTGTTGTCCCAGAGATCGAGTCGTCTTCTTCTTATTTAATTCTTGGTTAGCAAGTATAAATGAATATTTGATTGCGGTAGAAGTGATCGAAAAATATTAAATTAAATGAACTTATATTAGTTTCAGTGTGCTAAATAAAATCAACTCCATCAACATAAACTCCTGTTGCGCAGAAAACTGATGCCACTTGAGGAATCTGCAGCCTTATATTGGCGGAATTTAACGGAAAAGGGAAATTCAACCTTATAATGGCGGAATTTAACAAAAAAAGGAAAGTGGGGCTACTGAAAATGTAAACTAGACCTCTAAAGACAGTCCTGCCCAAAAACTAATTGTATGAACTTTCTTTGCTTACGTCTTCGCACGTTCTCCGTAGCTGTGCCAATTCGGACCTGGCTTCTCTTTCATCCTTCAAGAGACGCTCCCTAGTGTTGTTCAGTTGATCGAAGGCCTTATTGCGACGACCGATAGCAGTCTGCAGACGTTCCGCCGCCTCAGCGATTTCGACCAGAAGATTATCTTTTACATCAGTCAGCCTCTCAAACGTGACCGTTTTAGTTTTAAGCGCCTCCAGGCTGAAAATGCGAGAACAGGTGTCAGGGCAAATGAAGATCGTTACCGAAAGGTAGACTACTCAACTCGTTAAAGTCGGTTAAGTTATGAAGAATGTGGACAAAGTTAAGTATTGGGTAAGGATTACATAAATGATCCCTTAACAGAACATGAGCACAGGAAAGTCCGCACTACAGGTGGCTTTCTGCCGAATTTAAGATAAAATAGGGTTAGGTTTGTGATTACCGTCAGGATGACCTTCAGGGGTAGGTTAAAGGCAGTTATTAGGGTTAGTGGTACCTTCAATGTCAGGGGTGGTTAGAGTCAAGATCAGGGCTAAGTTATAGCTTTATTTTAGGGCTTTGGTTGGGTTTCGGACAAGGGGATGTCTACTTTTCCTAGGATTATTCGAAAGACAACCTTTATTTCTCAGGCGGGAGGCTACTTTTCCCGTGTCCTATTTAGACGGCCATATTGTCGTGAGAAAGCTTTGGAAGAATAGGCGCCGACCACCACACACTGCGAACACGAATACTACGCTAAAGTTCTAAAAAATTAAATGCCGAGTGAACAGATTAGGTGGCTCAGTAGTAACTGTAAGCATGAGTTTCCAGGGCAACAGCCAAGATCATTTTGGCTTTTTAAAAGGCGTACTTTGCTCTATTCTTAGTTGCCTAGGGAAGAGGTACACTAAAAATGATTCACCAAAGTATCTATGTCATGTGTGTGTGCTTAGTGTGGGTTTTGCACTAACTTTTCGAAATCCTCGCACGACTGAGGTAGATTGGTCCATTTTATGGTCACGTTAGCTGGCGATATTTGGAACCCCAAACGGCAATCCATTTAGCTCTTACGTTCCCCTGTTCTTCTAATTACCCGTAAGCTAAAACGGTACTCCAGAAGCCAGTTCTAGAACTGGCATATTAGCACTGATCAAAAGTATAGAAGGTAAACTAACATTCAGGCCGACGATTATTCACTCGGGTCGGAGACCCGGTAAAGATGGGTACATTCAGTAGGAAGAATAAATTCCATCCGGTTTGTCCAGCTCACGGACAGGCAATGACGCCAGCGATGAAAACTCCAGTAAACATGACTACTGTTGCTTGCATCGTGCGGTATTTGCGTTTGAAAGGATGCTTAACTTACGCTGATCCGTATGCTATTCTATTTTATAGCGTTATAAGTAGGAATTCTAAAGGTGCACCACAAAACTAGCAGTCGTCAATTTAGTTGCTGCAAATTTTTCCCAGAACTTAATTGTCATGCCGGCTCCTTTTCCACCGGTCGCACAAGTCTGTCAGAACTCGGACTGCCAAGAGTACCCAGTGCTTTGGCAGGCAGCGTTTGAGATTTGATCTACAATTATCGAGCTGGAATATTGGCAAAGTTAGGAAGGCATGACAGATGCTCGAAACAGCGCATCATCCTGAGCGTCTGCGTAAATGTGTTTATCGGGGACTTAATATTTTACCGTTATTTGTTGGACCTTAAAACTACGCGTATCAGGAGGGTACTTTCAGGTTTGGCATCAGAATTTGAATGAAACTGGGTCCGTACCCAGGTAAGCGCACCACATAGCACACGTTGAAAATGTGTAATTTAGGACATTTTTCCCTTTAAAAGCACATATCTTTCGATTAATTGGAAACGCTAAGTAGACATTTTTGACTTAACTTCTGTTTAACTTATGCCTCCTACACGGATTTATCGTCTTACAAATCAACTAATTGTAATTTATTATAGGGACTAGAAGCACACATAGATTTTGTTCAGAATCCTGTAGATATTAAAGATTGCGATCTGTATTTTAAATTCCAAAGACTGGATGACACTGCTGACAATACAGAAACGTATAGTAGATGTGCTAACTTATTAAGTGTTAACCGAAATTCTGAAATGCGTTGTCAAAGAGAAAAGCTCGCGTGATCAGAGTTGAAATATTAGTTATCTTACAACATATCCCCACGATATGTCAATCCTATTAGAATTACGGCCTTTGAACAAGCTCCTTTTGGACTGCCCTCAGTAAGTATGTAGTGGCCTCTGCAGTCCAACACCCTCCATTGCGTTGTCCGGCGTCAGTGTTCGAGACCAGCTGCCTCAAGGTCATCCAATACATCAGTCAGCGCTTACAGACGCGCTGACCTGCAGAGACTTGACCTACTCCCACTCGGACACACACGTGCGT